GGAATACATGTACCGCCATTACGTATTTAAAATAGAAAATATGAGTAACTGTATTCCATTACAGTTACTGTTTAAAAAGGTGGTATTCAGAATACAGTTACTTTGTTGAAATAAAGGGATTACACGGCGGTCTTTTCCGGTTTCATATGTTAGGCTATGCCCTCTCCATTTTTGGTAATTCCACGCCGTTGGAAACCCAAACAAAACACACATTAAGAAGCTCTAATGCCTGTGTCTCGATCCATGTCACCTCTACCTGCAGCCCGCATAATGACATGCTGACATAATTTTAAAAATTATTGTTCAAAAAATCATTTAATATGAAGGCAGAGTGTTACAGGCATAGCCCTAAAGAATGGAACCTTATGGGCAGTGTAACCCAGTTGTAAGTAAGCTATTAAGATTCGACTGTACACAGTGTTCGTGTTTTTCTCTGAAACAATAAGTTCCATTGGAGCAGCCTTTCAACGCCTCTCTCTGTCTCTCACTAGCAAAGTTGACCGAGACAACAAAGTAAAGCTAGTTTTTGGCTACGAGCCCGACACGGAACCCGACGTATTAGCCAGAGGTCCCTTTACTATGGTTTGGAGACGCGGAACTGTTTTATATATGCGCCGAATAGTTTTCTATATGAGATCGCTGCAAAAAGTCCAGCCTTACCTAATACCCACCCTACTGTTACTCATTTATATTAAGATTTAAAAATCTAGTTGGTATTTATATGGCGAGTAGCCTTTAGTAATAGTAATACCTGTCACCTTGACCCTCTTCCCACTGTGTTAGTTAAAGCCTGTCTTCCCTCGTTAGCTCCTCTCATAACCACTATTATCCATTCCTCCCTTAACAATGGAATCATTCCTGAATCACTGAAAAAGGCTTCTGTTATTCCAACTCTCAAAAAGCCTGGTGCAGACCCCAATAACTTTGATAATATTCGCCCTATATCAAATCTCCCCTTTATTTTCAAAAATTCTTGAAAAAGTTGTCACCTCCCAGCTTCACTTACACCTCAATAACCATAATCTCTATGAACAATTTCAATCTGGTTTCTGCCCCAATCATAGCACAGAAACTGCTTTGTTAAGGATTATCAATGACCTTCTGATGGCAGCTGACTCTGGTCTCCTATCCATCCTCATCCTTCTTGATCTTAGTGCGGCATTTGATACAATTTCTCACAATATTCTCCTGAACCGGTTAGCATCCATTGGCATTAGTCATACCCCCCTTGCCTGGTTCACCTCCTATCTCTCAGACCGCACTCAGTTTATCCAATTTAAATCCCATTCTTCAAGTCTCCATCCTGTTTCTGCTGGTGTGCCCCAGGGTTCAGTATTAGGGCCTCTTTTATTCATTATTTACATGCCCCCTCTTGGTCATATATTCCAAAAATATAATATACATTTTCACTGTTATGCTGATGACACCCAGCTCTACATTTCTTCTAAACCCAATTCAATCCTCCCACCTCCCTCCCTCTCAAACTGTCTTATCGAGATTAGATCCTGGTTCTCCTCCAATTTTCTTAAACTAAACAGTAACAAAACAGAAGTTTTACTTGTTGGTACAGTCTCTATCTTATCCAAATCCCACAGTTTTTCCATTAACATTGAACGTTCTCCCACCCTTCCCTCCCCCCAGGTTAAGAGTTTGGGTGTCATACTTGATAATACTCTCTCATTCCAGCCTCACATTAATTACATAACCCGGTCTGCATGCTTCCACTTACGTAATATTAACCGACTCCGCCCCTTCCTTACTCCCCATGCTGCTGCCATCCTTGTCCATAGTCTTATTACGTCCCGCATTGATTACTGCAATTCCCTCTTATTTGGTCTCCCTAAAAGGTCCCTTTATAAACTCCAACTTCTTCAAAATTCTGCAGCTCCGGTCATAACTCGTTCTCCGTCAAGAGCTCATATTACCCCAGTTCTTCAGCAGCTTCACTGGTTGCCCATAGAAGCCAGGATAAACTTTAAAATCTTACTTCTCACATACAAGTGTG